AATGTTTAGAAAATATTCTGATTTGTTGATATCTTTATATTTGAATAAATAAATTGTAAAGCAACTTAAAAGAAAATAACAGTGTATATAGATTATAAATTATATAAATAAATGAACTTAATGAAATATCCTTCAATATAAAAGTAATATTTATTACAAGAAAACCAATGTTATGTTATTAAAAATACCCAACAACTCTTCTTATATATTTTGCGGCATTTTCTTTAAAAAATAAATTGCTAATTGCTTAAAACTTTTTTGAGGATTTATATTGTTAGAATATAAAACAGGCCATTCACGTTCCGACTTGCGGTCCCACTTAGTAGTACTACTAGTTGGATATTCCTATTATTTAAAATTACCCCTATTAAAATACACGATTCTTAATCATCATTTACTTTTTGTTAGGGCAAATCATTTTCCTTTCTGTAGATCTATTTCGGACACTCCCACACAGGTATAATTTCCAACTCTCCGGATTGGCTACAGAGGAATTATCAACAAACAACGAAAATTATATCATAGTTGTACTGAAATTAGAAGTAACTGTTTTTTTTTATTGTTCTAAAGTTGTTTTCTTGTGGCATCTTATGCAAATTTACTATTTTAATTTGAAATAAGCTTGAATATTAGTTAGAAATTAAATTTATTTGACGTTTCGACTTCAACTTGGGAATATTTTGATAACTATTTGCGAAGTGGAAGCCCAAACGTCAAATACATTTAATTTCTATCTCATATTGTGGCTTATTCATAATTAAAATTGTAAATTTACTACAAGATCATTGTGTAATTGATATTTCCTACCTTTTAATTTTTTTCTAAAATAGAATATAACTACACAAATCCTTAAAAATTATAATTTTCTCCTATATCTTAAAAAGTCATAAAAATTGAGAGTGCCAGACAAGAGTCGTAAAAATTAATTAGTTCAGCCATAGACATATAACTGGTCTTGACTTTTGAGGTGGTCAAAGAATTCAAATATCTAGGAGCAACAATTACCAGTGAAAACACAGGAGAACGGGAGGTTGAAATACGAATACTGGCGGGGAATAAATCATTCTTTGCCATTCAACATCTAATGAGGTCAAAGCTTCTATCAAGGCGTGCCAAAATCCAAATGGTACAAAACCATAATACGACCAGCAGTGACATATGAAACTGAAACATAGACATTGAGAAAGAAAGAAATCAATAAGCTATTAGTATGGGAACGCAAAATCCTGCGAATTATATATGGTCCTTGCAGGGACAGCGTGACAAATGAATGGAGGAGCAGATACAACAATGAAATAGAGACTCTCTTCGGGAAAGGAAACATCGTAAGATACATAAAAGCCAATAGATTAAGATGGGCAGGCCACGTGGTACGGAGTGATGACGACAGACTGATTAGCAATGTGTTTTGGGAAAGACCAGATGGTAAAAGATTGACAGGAAGGCCTAGAAAAAGGTGGAAAGATGCAGTCAGGAAAGACCTGGAGAAGATGGAAGTAAGGCCATGGGAAATAATAGCACAGGGTCGGAATCAATGGAAGGCAATAGTAAACGCGGCAAAAACTCACGAAGAGTTGTAAAAGCCAATGATGATGATGATAGACATATAACTAGAGAAACGAGATTTTATAAGTCATGCTTATTTATGAACCCTAAAGTTCCTAACTTTCATATCTAATGCACGCCTTTCGTAATGAACAGTGAAGGAATTTTCGAATTTATTGATATCTACAGAAATAAACTTTCTTTGTAAAGTTCAGAGAACATAAAAAGTTCAAGTGAGTGAAAGTGGAACTTTACCGAAGCAGACGAAGTATATGTGCCCAATTGGGTGCACTACAATGAATTAAGCTTTTTGGTAGAAATGGGTCAGCGAGAATCGGCACCGATTCTTCAGATACACCTCCATCTCTGAATCCAGCCGTCGTGAAAACAAACTAGAACTGAAGTTGGACCGCTAGTTGGATAGCAACTCGAAGCGTGAGTGGAGAGGAATATCCAACTAGTAGTTCTACTAAGTGGGACCGCAAGTCGGAACGTGAATGCCCAGTTTTAGATTCTTTGTTTGGAGCCGCTTTAAGAAATGTTAAGGCACTTCTAACAATAAATAAAATAAAAAAAATTTAGTGTAAATGTTAACGAAATAGTAGGTGCAATAATTATCATCGCTTACATTTTATCAACTCTTTTCCTTTTATGCTGTTGCATTATTAATAATTATTTTATAAAGTTTTACTTTGGTGAGTTAACTTTTATTGTTTACAAAATTGTTTATTTAGTTGCCTTATTAGTTTTTGCTATAAAATTCATAGCAAAAAATATTTTATACCTTAGGAAAACAGGAAACAAGTTATTTTAGCAAACGGTATTTTTTGATATATGAATTTATACCGATTTAATTATGATGTTATTGATATAAAATAAGTAAAATGACCTGTGCATTATAAGTATCTGTGTATTTGGTTCTTCGTGGCCTTATTAGTAGATATAATAATTAATTTGTCCTGTACACTTTTACAGTTCTATATTTTGGCATATTTAAAACTCGTGAAAACTTTCATTTGTGAAAGAATTGTTTCTTATCAGGAATTACTAATTATTGTCAGGGAGCTATAGAAATAGTTCTGATGAAAATATTTCTGATAATGCCTACAACAGTGGAAGATGCAACGACAGAAAAAAACAATCCCATTTTCTTGATATATGTGGTGAGGTTGAGCACATTATCAACCTAGCGCAAACGGACATAGACGAGGGAATACTTATAAACGGAGAATGATTGAACACCATAAGATACGCTGATGATACTGTTATTTTTGCAGACAATCTTGAAGGTCTGCAGACACTTGTCTCCAGGGTGGCAAAAGTAAGTAGCAGGTTTAGGCTTGATTTTAACATAAAAAATCCAAATACATGATTATAAGCAAAAATAGGATACCACCTGGTCAATTACTAGTTAACCAACAACCTATAACACAAATCACCAACTTTTGTTATCTGGGTGCAAACTTAAATGAACAGTCAGACCAATCGACGGAACTAGAACATAACTAGAGGAGACTTAAACAGGACTCTTCGAGACTGTACCTACCATGCAGCTATTTGCCGGTGGATTTTCTTCTCCTAATGCAAAGAACCGCACATTTGCTAGGCTTTCACACTGATATAAAACATGCTCTGCTGTTTTTAGTTTGAAGTAACAGAATTTGCACAATCAGGTCATCATCATAATCCTATTAGCGTCAAGTTGCTATTCAGCTTACAGTGCGATGTTAGAAGACCTATATGGTTTTGACTGTTTTCCTGTCTTTGATTATTAGGTTTGCCGTAAATATTGGCAAATGTTCTGTAATGAACTGTTTCGCCTGTCTTTGTCCTGGCGAATTTCTCCACCATTCCAGAGATTTGTGAGCTACCCACTTCCTTGTAGCCGTTTTTGTTACTGATTTTGCAACGCCGCAGAAGGGTTCCGGTCCAATGAATGGCATTGATCAGCCTTGTTTGGCCATTTCATCTGCTTTTTCATTACCCTTATGATTCTCGTCCCGGTACCCAGGCTACCGTAACCTTGCTACGGTCTCCTAGTTTATTTAGGGCACACATCCCCTACTAGCTTAGAATAGACCTCTACAGAATTGAGTAACTTAAGCACTGCCTGACTATCTGTGACAATGGCAACTGAACAGAACGTTCTTTCCTGTCTTTCTATCTCTTCCACGCAGTGATAAATGTCAGTTATTTCCGCCTGGAAAATTGTCACATCCTTGGATAGACTTATCGGGAAATGTATCCCTTGATTTGTGCCTACTATGCCGGCTCCCACACCCTCCGCTGTTTTAGAGCCATCCGTGTACCAGGTAGCAGCAGCTTGTATGGGCACACCTTTATTCTATCACATCATTAAGAAGACTTTAAAATTGACACCTAAACTTTTACAAGAACTAATCGACCAAATGACAAGCTTTTTATATAAAAAACGAGATTATTCAAAATATTTCTGTATTATGAAGCAAATTCGAAATTCACCCAAAAACACGAATTTCGCTTTTTGGTATGTATGGAGGACTGCAATTGCTTCTTCCTGCGTTTCGCCTACAACTGTAGAATGCATTATCAGAAGTATTTTTATCACTAGTGCGTAGATCATATTATGTTTACATTTGCTCTTATTACACCCTGATAGAAATCAATATTTCTTGATACAAAACAGTCAATGATACTAGCGATAGGGGTTACGTCAACGATACTATATTTTTTATTATAATTTAAACTCTTTTTGCAACTAGGGACCATATTTATTCTTTTCATTATTTTTAAGACAGATATATCATAGAGTGAGTTTACTGATTACAGTTTTGGAACAAATTGTCTGTGTATATATGGCATTTTTGTATAGATAATGATATTTCTATCAATATAGCCTTAACTTTTGAAATAAGTCTCGTGGTATAAAATTACAATATGAGGATTATCTTGATGCAAGATATATTTACCAAGTATAGAGCTTGCACTATTGTTAATACCTTAAATTTTATACTTGTTTCCTGGTTTTCCGATGGCACGTTTAATTTCTAGTTGTATGGCTAAAGTCGATTTAACTTACTTAAAGAAACTTTTTAAATTATAAAAGATCAATTTTTATCAAATTTACATACAGTTACTCAACGAAATATAAAAGAGTTTTTTCTTACCAACACATTCCATACCACTAGAGACTTGATTTAATTCAGTATTGTTTAAATTTCTTGTTTAAGTGTTAATAAAAAATTTTGTAAACTACTTGAAATATTTTCAGAAATTGGCCTTTTAAACTATCGCAAAGCAGGGTCGCTACAAAAATTAGGAGAAAATAAACAACATTTACTGTCTATTTAAAAGCTGAATTCGACTATCTAAAGTTCTCGAGTCTTTTAACATTTAATCTCTTCATTACTGTCGCTACTGAACCGTGTCAGTACAAAGCTGTTGCTTCTTTTGTGAACGTAATGCGTATGCGTATGCTATCCGGGTTTTTCCGCTTTTCCGGATAAGTAACACTCGACGCAAGTCGGAGTCTCAATGCTGAGAGACTTCGTCGGCTGTTTGAGGGAAGACTTAATTTTCTTAGGACTCTTATATCCGTTTTCTGCTTTGGGACTGCTATCCCGGGATCTTCTAGGAGTCTTAGGACTGGATTTCCTCGAGTTTTTCGGACTTATACTATCGGAACGCTTTTTATTAGGACTACTTTTTCTGGATTGATTAGGGCTAGATTTACGAGAGTGATTGGGAGTGGTTTTGCGAGATTGATTGGGGCTGGGGTCTTTTTTAATAATACCGCCGCTTTTGGTGGTGTCCTTTTTGGTATCACTAATTTGTCTTTGAGGCGATCTTGTTTTAACTATGTGGACTTCTGCTTTCACGGTTTGTACGTGTTGCTTACCTAGTTCTTCTGTATGCATCGGATGAAAGTTCTCGGGGGCATGGGATGACTGTATCAGCCGTGCTTGACTACCTGTACTGCCTGCTGAGAGCGTTGACGTGGTACTGAAAACATACATAAAGTTAGTATCAATAAATCAGCAGTATCAATTAATTTTTAATTATTACCTAACTAAACAAATATTATAATTTGTTAATGTTTTTATTAGATTTAGACATCTGAAAGAGATTAATGTGTACTTATTCATCCAGATTTCATTTTACCTTTACGCCCCAATGATTTTTAGTTTTGGAGGAGACACCCATGGGTGTAACGCCGGCAATGTTTCGAATAGCATAAGTTTTCGTAAGCACACATACCACTACTAATGTAATTTGTGGGTAAGCATGTTAAATGAACAATATACTAAACATCTGTAAAGCTGGTTGCTGACAGCAAAGGCTCAGAGAACGATATCATGTCAGTTGGCTTTTGGCTCCCTAATTGCCGGACTTGTGTGCGTTAAGTCATAATGTAAACAGACAAATGTCAGCTTTTTATGTTTAAGTAGTGTTACTGTTTTAAATAATGTTTTTGTTGACATTTTTCGTTTTATTGTTATTTAAAATTGTAAATACAATGAGTAGTGCAGGCATATCTTCTAGCCTGTTAGCAATTTTTTGAACTACATGTCCAAAAACAGATTTTTAATAATTATCCGGTGCTTTCATTTTGCACGAAATGATATTAATAATCAAGATCGTTTACGCAAAATACGTCCTGTACTAGATGATTCCAATAACAAAATAAAATCAATTCACATTCCAGGTAAATACCTTTCTTTAGATGAATCCATGATGTCGTGGACAGGAAGACTTATATTCCGGCAATATATACAAAATAACCGTCATAAGTATGGTATGAAACCAGCGGTACTGGTAACACAGAAAAAAGTGGTAATAAAGCTGTTAGAGGAGAAATACAATCTTGGACATTCGGTATTTATGGACAGGTTTTATAATAGCTATGAATTAGGACGAAAACTGCTTAAAAAAGGAACCTATTATACAGGAACATTAAACAGAAATAGAAAAAGTAATCCAGTGCCTGTTGTACAAAAAGATTACAAAAAGGAGAAAATAAATCCGTATTTCGCAACGGAGTTCACGTGCGCAAGTGAAAGGACAAAAGGGAGGTATTATATTTAACTACGGAATTTGGTAATACAATGACGCAAACCACCAATAAACCAGGTCAAGCAAAGTTGAAACCTACAGCCATTTATGAATATAACAAACATATGTCCGGCATTGACCGCCAAGACCAAATGCTCGCATATTATCCGTGATCTCGGAAAATTTTGCGTTGGTATATTTATATACTATGTTCATCCTCAGCACTATTTCTTCTCTGGTGACTTTGTCTGTCCAGGGTATCTTTAGAATCCTTCAGTATAACCATAGCTCAAAAAAAGGAAGTGTTGATAGAGTTTTTGCCTTCAATGTCCACGTTTTTACTCCATACAAAAGCACTGAGTACATGTAACATTTAAAGAGCCTTATTTCTGTTTCTAGGGTAAGGTCATGGCTCTTGAACACAAAGCTCATAGTCAACAATGCACTTCTTGCCTTTCCGATGCGACAGTTAATCTCTTGGATATTGTCACACGACTCATTGATTATAGTTCCCAAGTAGTTTTATTGTATGACACGTTTAATTCTTATTTGGTTCACATACAGATTTGCTTCAGTTTTTTTTCTTTGCTGATGATCATTAGCTTGGTTTTGCTGGTGTTTATATCCAGTCCATATGTTCTACTTGCTTCCGTTATTTTGTTCATAAAGTTTCCCAGCATACCGCAGGTTACTGAGCTTGACTCCATTTATTGAGGTGCCGTCATCAATATGTTTTAAAGCCCCTATAAAAATGTGCTCCGAGTACAGATTGAATATCAGTGGTGAAATTATGCACTCCTGGCTTACTCCCTGTAAGATATTGTCTTAATCTGTATATTCACCATCTATTCGGAGCACCGCTGATTCCAATACAGGTTAGCTATTATTTTTAAGTATTTTCCGTCAATCCCTGTCCTCTTCAGCACTTCCATCATTTGTTCATGCCTGACTCTATCGAAAGCCTTCTTGTAGTCAAAGCATAGTTACAAAAACTAAGCAAAACATTACAGCTGACATCTCTACATTTCTGAAACAATACTTCTCTCAACCATTTTCTCCATTCTCCGTCTTTCAATCCTCTTCTTTCCATGGCTTCATCTACCTCATCTCTAAAAGATTTTGGTCTGCCTCTTTTGCGTTTTCCTATGGGGCTCCACTCTGTTATTTTTGCTATCCATCGGTTTGAGTCTGTTCGTCTGACATGTCCGTACCACGGGATTCTTTTTTCTTTAATGTAATATAAGGTGTATTTCTTTATCTCCATTCGTCTTTAGATTTCGTCGTTAGTTATTTTGTTCATTCTGCAAACTCATCAGCTTCTTCTCCAGTAGTCCATTTCTGTGGCGTTTATTTTGTTTCTCATCGTGTTATAAATTCTGTTTTTGTTATTTTTTTGTTATGTGTCTATCCCATAGGATTGAATTCAGTTGTCTTATAGAGTTTCTGGTTTGACCCACTCGATTTTTAATTTCTTAATCTGTAGTACCTTTATTTGATATAATGAACCGCAGGTATTTAATTTTATCGGTCCCCTTTATTTCACGCCCGTCATCCACTTCCAGGTTTCTTGTTGGTTCTTGTGTTATGTTCAGATATTCTGTTTTGTTAATGTTTATTTCCAGCCCATTAATATTATATTCTTCTTCTAGTTTTCGAACCATATAACTTAGATCTTCCTCGTCTTGTGCTATTATGACCTGATCGTCGGCGAAACTAAGGGTATACAGATGGTCGTTCCTTATGGGTACTCCCATTCTCTCACATTTCCTTTTACATGGCTTTAGGGCGTATTGAAGAAATATTTTGAGTGTGGGTGAAGTCGAGCCGCCCTGTGGGACACCTTTCGTGGTTTTCAATGGTTTTCCAAACTTATTACCTACCTTGACTGTAACATTATTATGTGTGTACATGGACTTCACTACATGGATCAGCTTATCTTCTACTCCTATTTGTTGCATGCCTTCCCACAGTCGTTGTCTGGGCAAAGAGTCGTATGCCTTTTTTAGGTCAATAAAGGCTAGATGGACTGGTCTGTTCTTTGCCATCTTCTTCTCTATTAGCTGTTGTATAGTGTAGATGTGGTCAACACATGATTTCCCAGCTGTAAAACCTGCCTGGTCGTCCTCTATTTTATTTTGGATTTGTTTTTCTATTTTTTCCTCCTCTAGGAGGAGCCACTCTACTGGTATTTTTCTTGCTTTATATATTTCATTTAATATTAGTTATTATTTTTATTTGTTCTGCAAATATAGAAATTCGGAAAAAATAAAATTCAGAAAAATATAACTGTAAAAAGGTAATACTGTATGTGATGTATATATAATGTATGTAAAAACAAAAAGATCTTATCTAACATATCAAATAATATACTAAAATGATGGTGTTTTCTATGGTAAAATGTTTCGGAAGCCACAGTCACCGTGCGAATTTCCCGGTAAAAACTATTTCAGGGTGGTGATGTGTTGTGCAGTAAAAAGATTTTGTAAAATCAATAATAGTGCCACAAGACCAGTTATTATGTATAGAAGCAAATGTTGGGCAGTTAACAAAAAAAGATTAATAAATGCATGTAATAGACATGAAAATAAAAAAGGTAAAATTAAGAATGATATATCAGGAAAAGTCTACCTATGGCGCCAATTATTACAAAAATGCCCTAAATACGCAAAAAATATTGGCAACACCTGCTAAGAACCTAATTAGGTAATAAACGTTTTCCCAATGTGATAATCAGCTTTGTTAGATGCCTGACTTTTTAAGACGTCGATATACAAAAATTTACACTATATTTCTTAGCTAAATGTAATTTAAAAGTGTTTTTCTAGCTGTCTTTTATCTATTGAATTTGTTTAGTACATATTTATGTGGTATTTTCTCTGTTAATCAATGCGTGCAGATATTTTAAAGATTTGTGTTTCTTTTTTTAGATCACAGTGGATGGTGGATTGTAGATTTGATTTGCTTTTATTGGGTATGTGACATCATATTACTTCAGTATTTTCATAAGTTTTTTGTCTTTACACCTTATTTACATGGTTAGTTTATTTTCAAAACGTATAAACACAACACTGGCTGTGAATAATATACGACAAAGTTCATACCCATGGTCATGTGTTATTTATTACCAAGTATTTGATGGTTCATACTTGAACCTGAAGTAAGACATCAGTTGTCAAATGTCAGATGTCTGTATCAATTGTTTTTTGATATGATATTTGAGATCTGATAGCAAATCTCAGATGTCTGAGATATCTGCAACTATTTTTTATTATCATAGTTAATGTTAAGTATTATCATAGTTAATTTAGTGTCAAATATCTAACAAAAAAGAATGTTAATTAAAATTAAAAGTTTTTGAACGTTACAGTAAATATAATAGTTCGAATAAAGATTATTTAAATGATACCTGAGAGTTAAGTGATTCGGCGTTTTGCCTAAACCGGATTTGGGTTTGATGGTTCCAGTTTGGGAATCTTCTTCTCCTTCTGATTTAATTCCAGCTTCTATTCTGTCGTGATGGTGGTGATCAGATCGTTTTGGCGGATCTATAAAATTTCAGTTATTAATTTTATTATTTGTATTAGATTTTAATATAAATCAAACTAAAAATATATACCAAAAGTACGAGATATACAATTAGGATATATTTGGATTTGTCAGATATATCTTTCAATTGTATTTTGCTTTGTTTTTGTGCTTTTAAGTTTAAAAAACGTAGTTGAAAAAACTAAAATATACAATAATTTCACTACAAAGTCGAGTGTACCTAAGATTGAGATTGTTTTGGAAAAAGCTATTAAAAAATTTATTGAGATGTAGCACATTAACCATAATAGGCCATAGTAGTTAAACATTATACAGTGATTTATAGATTCTAGCGTTTTGGATTGCGCTAGCAACATAATTTTTTTTTCACTATTTTAAAGTTGAATTATTCTTCTTCTTCTTCTTCAGGTGCCATCTCCGCTACGAAGGTTGGCAATCATCATAGCTATCTTAATTTTTGAGGCAGTAGCTCTAAATAGTTGTTTTGAGCTGCATCCAAACCATTCTCTCAGGTTCTTCAGCCATGAAATTCGTCTTCTTCCGATGCTTCTTCTGCCATCTATTTTTCCCTGCATTATGAGTCGCAGGATGCCATACTTATCGCCCCGCATCACATGTCCGAGATACTGTAGCTTTCTTTCTTTAATTGTAAGTTCAATTTTCTTCTCTTTGCCTATTCTTCTCAGTATTTCATTGTTTGTAACTCTATCTACCCAGGAAACCCTCATAATTCTTCTATAGGTCCACATTTCAAAGGCGTTAAGTCGTCTCATGGTATCTAGATTTAACGTTCATGATTCCACTCCATAATACAGTACACTGTATACGTAACATTTTGTTAGGCGTACTTTAAGAGCTAATGTTAGATCTTTGCCACATAGGACCTTTTTCATTTTTATAAAATTAGAACGAGCTTTTTCGATTCTAACTTTGATTTCTGCCGTGTAGTCATTTTTTTCTGTTATAAGTGTTCCTAGGTAAGTGTACTTTTTTATTCTTTCGATCTGCTGGCCCTCTACTATCAAGATTTCGTTAGTATTATAGTTGTTTTTACAAATTTTCATAAACTTCGTCTTTTTGACATTAAGAGAGAGTCCGTACTCCCTACTACACATGACTATTTTGTTCATGAGTCTTTCCAGGTCTTGTAAACTATCGGCTATTATTACTGTATCATATGCATATCTGATGTTGTTAATTAAGACTCCATTTACTCTTATGCCGACTGTTTCATCTTCCAGAGTTTCTCGAATTACCTCTTCAGAATAGGCGTTAAATAATAGAGGTGATAGAATGCAGCCTTGCCTAACTCCTCTCTTTATTTCCATTTCTTCAGATGTTTCTTTTTCGATTCTTACTATTGCTCGCTGATTGTAATAGAGGTGTGTTATTAGCCTTAAATCTTTCATCTAGGTTTTTGTTTTTTAGAATTTCCAGGAGTCGATCATGTTTTACTTTATCAAACGCTTTATTGTAGTCTATAAAAACAGACGTAAAGAGGACGGTTAACATCCAAACATCTCTGTGTCAGCACATTGAAGGAGAATAATGCCTCTCTGGTACCCATACCATTGCGGAACCCATATTGAGTGTCACTAATATCCAGCTCCAGTTTAGAGTGTATTCTGGCGTGGATAATTTTCAAGAGAATTTTCAAGGTATGTGACATTAAGCTTATGGTTCGATAGTCACTACACTCTTTGGCATTCACCTTCTTTGGCAAACACACAAATGCTGATGTCAACATTTCTCTAGGAATGATTCCCGTAGTATAGATAGCGTTGAATAGTTCTACTATTATGTCCAGGTTTTTCTCGTTGACCAACTTTAGTACCTCGCTTGGTAATTCATCTGGACCAGCTTGGTACGTCTATAAGTTGAAAATTTATAAATTGCACTTGTGTCTCTCAACCTGAACAAGTAGACAGTTTACATAGTTGCTTGTTAACAAATAACTTTGTGGTTTGTTTCACTTCGCTTATTCTGTTTCAGTAAGTTTAGAACTTTCTGTTCGTTTATCATTAATAGTTTTTTTATCTTCTCTGAAATTCTTTAATTCTCTAAAAAATTTTAAAGATTTACTTTAGGTGAACTTATGTGATGTAGTGATGTACTATATTTTCTAGTTTTTTTGGTACTTTACTAGCAAATTATATAGTTAGAGTCAGCACATTTTTTTAACAGATTTATTATAACTCAAAACAAAAGTTTCAAAGTTCGTATGTCTTCCCAATACTCAACGTTAAATTAAGAGAAACATGTAGACGTATCTTTTTGTTAACAACGCATTAGTATTACTGTAATGTAAAACTGTCTAAAAAACCTACAGCTGTTATAAAAAGGAATCGTAACTTTTTTTAAGTCCTAAAAAAGATAGGATTATCTTATTATTGAACCGACATATCTGAGCTTGCTCGTTAAAGCCATAACTTTTCAGTTTGATGTAGGGTTCAAATAGTTTTCACCCTTAAATTAGAGTCAATTAAGCCTGAGATACACATGCTTACTACTAGCACAATAACACACCAGTACCTGGCAAGCACCAGCTGTTGTCCCCAAACTGGCAAGTGTGTACGGTAATTGGCACGCTAGTTCCTGGCATGGTAGCTAATCGCGAAGAATTTGAAATTTCTTGCTAGTAGCATGCTGTGAGATGCAAGGTCCATGCGTGGGGAGTGTCACAGGTAATTGTGAAGCCCTACCTTTATGGGCATACCAGTAGCTAGCAGATAATTGTCAGATTTGTTGTGTTGGTTATAAAAGTTAATCGTTTTAATTTTAAAATTGTTAATTTAAAAAATGTTTCACTGGGATAATGAAAAATTATCAAATTTATTTTGAATTCTAAATCATCTCTATATAAAAATAAAATAACCCGTGACAATGCTTACACAAAAATTCAAAACGAACTGCTTGTTCGTACTGCTTGTTCGTACTGAAATATTTGCTTGTTGAATTTATTCCCAATACCTTCCATGCATTCTCTTTTTTTGTTGGAAACTTAAAAACTTTTAATTACTTAACAAGTACTTTAGTTTCAGATGAAAACGAGTCGATTGTTTACTAGCACTGGCATGTGTAAAATCTACTCTGCTTGTTTGCCTTACCAGTATATGCAAGCGAGCTACTGACATGCCAATTACTAGCAAATGTGTTTTAAGTTTACCAGTTACTGGCTTATGAGAGCAACTGGCATGAAACTACTTTCCCAATCTACTGGCATGTGTGTACGCGGCTTAACTGACGGTAGAACATGATATCTAAGAGACCACTCAAATGGTTATAATAATAGATGGCAAGGATTAGGGATGCAAGAGATAGTGACGCCCAACGTATAGCCTGTCCTATCCAAATGTTAACTTCACCTGCACGGGTGATGACTCTGATTCTGATCCTTGGATGCATTCTGCTAGATAAGAAACGAGGTTATCAAGTTCGAGTGATTGCCGGTGTAAACAATCCACCACTTATTGACCAACAGCTTCGGGGCGGATAAATTGGTAACTGGTAAGGCACTCTTTTGTCGTAAAGTTGAGAAATTGACTTGAAAGACGACGGAACTACTAAGTAGTCAACGGCAATAAAGATATGGAAATCCACGGGATAACTAACACATTATATATTATTAGTAAAACCACCATCACGAGTAGGAGATTCAGAGATGATATGCCATGAGGCCCGATTAGCAACCGGCGTAGTCGAGTTCCCAGGCTTGACAATGGAAAATCAGAGACCTGTCAGAAACGGTGGATATCATGTCTTGCGTGGAAAATATTCGACTGGATAGACACATCGGAAAAAATACTATTAAAATAGTATTTTTACTCTTCTTCAGACTGGAAAGCTAAAAAACGCAATTATTGAAATAAAGAGAGTCAAAATTTTTATTCTGTAAATATGTCATTTGTCTACTTATGCAGCAGAGAAGAAGATGTCAACCATACGCATGAAGTAGCGGTTCTAGTAAATAATAAAATTAGACAATATTTAAAAAAAATTATTCCATATTCAGCACGCTTAAATCAAAATAGAACTGTCAGCAGGAAGATACAAGAGGCTATAGAGAAATGGTTGTAACAAAAGTGTCAATAGATAAAAGAGCAAGAACGAAGACATGACATCTATAAAGTGTACAAAAAATTAAAGAGTTTATTTAGAGATTATTGCCATATAACGGACTTTCTTAACCTAAATGGACACGAATGAAGGAAAGATGAGAAAGCTACATAATACGATGAAATAACAGTCGAATTTTTAAAAGTTTTTAACGAGGATGACTTGAATGTAATAGAACTATTTAATAAGATATACGATACTGGTCAAATTCTGGACTGGTTGACGTGTACATTTGTGACCCTTACCAAAAAATCCAATTCTAAGACGTGTAATGAATATCGCCTTATAAGTTTAATGAGCCACACATTAAAGTATTCTTGCGTATTATTCATTCCAGAATACCAACAAAATTTGAACAAGGCATAAGTAAAACACAGTTCTGCTTTAGATGCGGTTTTGAAACGCAATAGACTATCCTTGCAATACAAGTTTTGGTTCAAAATGCCTGGATTAACAAAAATATGTTTACGCTTGTTCTATCGATTATGAGAAAGTGTCCGACACTATCAAACATCCTTTCAGGACTTGATATTAAGGACATCCAAATTATTAAAAATCTGTTTTGGAATCATACATCGCACATAAAGTATGGACATATTGTGATTTAAAACATAACCATTTCTAAAGGGGTTAGACAAAGCTACATTCTCTCGCCACTGCTTTTGAATATATACACGAAAAAAATACTTCTAGAAGGCACTAGAATAGTACTACGAAGGTATTAAGATTAATAGCGGACCAATAAGTAATTTTTCAATATGCAGATTATACTGTTATACTGGTCGATAACATTATAGATCTAAAGATGATGTTCAATAGAGTAAATACTACAGGAAACCAATTTTGACTACAGATCAACCAAAACTAAAATTATGGTGATTAGTAAAAAGAATATTCAAAATATCGACCTGCATATTGAAACTGAACATATTGAAATAATACACCAATTTAAATATCTGTGACATAAAGTAAATTAAGTGGGATGCATTAAGAGCATCCCACTTAAGATTGAGAGCAAAATTAAAATAGCAAGATTCATATTCACAAGAATCAGAAAGCTCTTAAGCAACCGCAACCTAAGCGGTAGCATCCGACGGTGCGCCATGAAATGTAACGAACTCTCTACGCTACTTTACGGAGTAGAAATTCGGACGTTGAAAGAAACAACTATAAGAAAGTAAGAGGCTTTAAAAATGCGGTTGTTCCGACACATACTGAGAACACCTTGGACAGACAGAGTTACCAACAAAGAGATATTGAGACGAATGGGCAAATAGATAGAATTAATAACAGCTGTTTAAAGAACAAAAGAGTCATATATGTGTCATATGTTCCGAATTATAAGTACAGTCTGTGTAGTTTATAGTAAAAGGCAAGATTAAAGGCGGAAAAGGTTTAGAAAGAAAGAGAAAATTTTGGCAGAGAATGGTTTCAAATAGAGGCATAGGCATAATACCAGCTTTCTGAACAAATAACAAACTAGGTAAATATATCAAAAACAACAAGAGCCAAAATAAAAAACACTTACACCGTAGTGTGTATAAATTTAAATGTGGCGACTGCCCAAAAACTTACATCGGTCAAACTGGTAGAAACTTTAATAAACGAATAGAAGAACATAAAATGGCTTTCAATAATAGAAGAACAGATTCTACATACGCACTTTACCTTGTAGATCACATTCATTCTTTTAATGACGAATTTAAAATTCTTCACATTCAAAATAAAGGCCTTAAGCTATCCTAGTTAGAATCTATGGAAATCAACAAATTAAAAAACACAGATATAATTCTGAATGACCAACTTGAGACAAACAGTTCTCCCCTCCTTAATATATTTCATTAGAGACTATAAAGTGTAAACGCATACCAAAAATAGATATCTTGAGAAAGGCAATCAACTGAAACAGCTGTAGTGATAAGAAGTTAAAATAAGTTTGAAAACAAAGTTTTTAGTGTTTTATTGTTACAAGAAGTATATAATTATAAAATTTATTCTTGGGTTATTGTGAAATTACCAAATACAATAAAACGGGGCACTTTTATTTGAATAAACACTTAGAGTACATAAGACAATATAAATATTTTATTTTACGAATATTTTTCAAAAATATTTCTTCTTGTAGATCTCAAACTGATTTAGATATTTTAATTCTTTACTCCACAAAGTATAAATAAAACATTTAAAAGTGTTAAAAAAAGTAATATAAAACATTGATTTGTGTCAGCTATCGTAATTATTCCAAATATCTATAATAAAATAAACTCACCTACAGTATCTCCAACTGTTTTACTCCTAGACCTAAACATGGGTGGTTCATCAGCTTCCGTGCTGATATTGTCATAATCTATATTGCCGGCGGAGTTCCTCTGCGAGGGTTTCACCTTCTTAACTTTTCCTAAAGTGTGTGAACCTTGTACTATAACAGTTCTCGGTTGTCTATCTGGTCGTTCCAACGTTTGACTATTGATGTGGCTACTGCCTTTGTGCCCAGTAACCAAAATAATTCCTGGACCCGCTCCTGGCTTAGTTTGAGGTATTGACATATTTCGTACGGACTCCCTGATGATTTGTCGTATTGTTTTTAGGAATGCGTTGCGAAATTCTGCGGTACTGCAAGAAAATAAGAAATATTTGATAACATGAATTCGAACGATATTTAACATTTATTACATTTCATATTATATTCATAAGGCAGAAAATTCTCAAATTGTAATATATTTTACAAAAGCTACTAAGTGTGTCACGGAGAAGTTGATGGACATATACTAAACGAATCTAACGCACATGTTCCAAAAATTTAATAATGAGACAATTATATTGGAAGATTAAAGACAGGATAGGATAATTATAAAAATGAGGATAAATTTATTCTGGAATATTACCATGTCAGAAATTCGTTAAGATAAGTTCGACAGGATTTTCACCAGCGCTTCGTAATTTCGAAATGGATTTAGATACAACAAATGCAACCAAATGCCAAAATTACAGAGGTACGCCGAAAACTGGAAGCACACATGAAACATAATTTCGAAGACCAGAAGAAACATTACGATCTAAGGCAAAGGGACTGGTATCAGCACCCAGGAGATCAGGTGATGAAAAAGGAACATTATCTATTCTTTAAATTATCTTTAAACGATAAAAACAAAGATATAGAACAATGGGATATCACTCAAATACACTATGATATATACCCTCAACTTTGCAGACGTTCAACTAATATTGACTTAAGATTTTAATGGAAGACACAAGTGCGTAAAGGATCTACATAACAATAAAAAAAATCAGTTTTTAGGTTAAGTAAGTCTGTTTTAATCCCTAAATTTGCTTCAAAATATTTATTTGCCTTAAAAACGTTTACCAACGATTTAATTAGGGGATAAAGGATATATGTACCAAGCAATATTTTATTACAAAAGTGCATAAAAGATCCATGTGCTCAATATAGTACATAGATCTTTTATGTCTGACCAAATGGATTGCTGTTGTCATATTACATAGATCCCTAAAGTTAGGTTATGTTGTTCTTTACATCTAAAATCGTAGTGTGTACTTTTTTAGTGAAAATAGTGAAATAAGTTGCAAAAAAGTCAGCAAGAGGTAGACTTTTACTTAATCTGGGACAAAAACAGTATAAAGGTACGTTGAATTGATAATCAATATTGTTTTTAACTAAAATATTCTTCTTAATAATAATTTGAGGTTAAGAGTTTACCAGAAAGGTAACAAAATACCTGCATAAAACAAGCAATGCTTTTATTATTTAACCATTGTAGAACAACTTGATCAGGTAAAAAGAGATTAAGCATAACTTTATTGTCGTAGATATTGCCGAAACTTTACCTGAGCAAGATAAAACTCCACCAAGAATCGAGAATATCGTGCATGAAAAGCAAATATCTTTACCAGAGTTGCAGGATACATTTAACTGTAAATATTCATTCTAAAATTAAATTCTTTAAAGGTTTTGGTCTGCTGATAAAAATAATAAAGTAACCTACATACCCTATATGTTTAAAAAACTTTTAAATTGTAGATTCTATTTCTGAAGATGAAGTAATTTCTGCAGAATATACTTCAGACAACTACAATCCAGATAGTACTGATTCGAGCGAAACTTTTGAAGATTCTCATTGTGAGGATGAAAGTCATCCCATAGCAGTACCACTTGTCACAGCAGAAGATTCAGTTTTACTTATAAATCAACATGAAAATACTAAAAATTTATTGGACAGGAAGCAAAGTCTTTTAAAATCTAGGATAAATAATGTTAAGAGAAAGGTATTCAATTTGCCAGAAAAAAAAATCAAGAATAATCAAACCCAATTCTGAAACATGGAAGAAGAATAAACCTGCTTTAGCGAGACAGAGAGGTGAGATATACATATCATTAAAAAGTAAAAACAGATGCAAAGCAAAAGTCCAGAATTAGGATCTTTATGCAAAAAATAAAATTTCAATTTAACAAGTTTAATAGGAAAACAATATTTCGTAAGTTTTACGCATTAGATCAAAATGCAAAAAATTAATTACTTTTTAAATCTGTTTTGACCAGTTAATCGCCATAGAAAAAACATTAGTAAAAATAAATCATATACATTCGGTTACACAATAACGTGTCAGACACTTATCAAAACTGTCTGTAAGACTGCCTTTATCTCCCTTTACCAAATATCAAATAAAGAGGTGCAACTCATTCAGAATCAATTTAAATCAGGGACTACAGCTTCTTCACCAGATAAAAGGGTGCATCATAATTCTAGACCAAATAAAATAGAAAAAGATGTGGTTGCTGCTGTAAAAGGACACGTTCTTTCTTTTCCTGCAAAACAGTCTCACTATTCTCGAAACAAAAATGCCAATAAAATGTATTTGTCTCCCGTCTTAAATATAACAAAACTTTATGAATTGTATGAAAAATATCAAGCAAGAATATGTTCAAGAAACTAAGATGGACAAACGGTTTTTGGTTTCAAAAAGTTTTTATACGCACATTTTCTCATCAGAAATTAATTTATCTTTTGGCCAGCCCAAAAGTGACACATGCATTACGTGCGATGCGAATTTAGGGGATGAGATCCACAAAGAAAAATTTAAATTTGCTTTTGAGCAACAAAAAGTCGATAGAGAACGGGCACACAATAATAAAGAAATGTGCTATGTAACCATAAACCTAGAACATACCATGCCTTTACCACGACTTACTACTTCTAAGGCATTTTATTTGAGGCATATGTGGTTCTTTAATTTTGGAATCCACACAATCACGTCAGAGGGTGATAAAGCCCACTTTTTTATTGGACCGAAGATGTAGCAACTAAGGGCAGTCTTGAAGTTGGCAGTAGCTTGCACACATTTGTTCAACTTTTAACAAGCAGAAAGAATAAAATAAACCATCATATGGTCTAACTCGTGTGCAGGGCAGAACAAAAATTTTAACCTAATATGCCTATATCAGTTCTTAATTTTAAAGAAATACGTGAATATAATAGACCATAAATTTCCAGAAGTAGGGCATTCCTTTTTAGTTTAGTTTAATATAATAGACCATAAATTTCCAGAAGTAGGGCATTCAATTTTATTGAAAACATACAAAACCAGCTTACCAGTTAGACCTATTTAGAAGTGTGTACAAGTCTTACAGTCTTTTTCAATTCCTTTTTAGATTCTGATAGAGATTTTAGTATAACTGAAAATTATTGTTGAAAAGATGTTATAAGAGAATCAAGTAAAAAAGGTTTAAATTTTAGAGATGATATCAAATGGACACGTGTGGATAGCTACGATGAATATTACTACAAAAACTCCTTAGACCCAAACACGCCGTTCTTAAAAGTGGATATAATAAAAAAGAGCGAATTCAGGAGAAGGTTTTGTATTCGAAATTATACCAAACAAAACAAATACTATGTCCGTTGAAAAATTTAATAATTTAAACAACTTTATTTTATAGAGAAAACTTACAGACATTTTTATACTCGTCTATGGAAAAATAAAGAAGAAGCAGAAATCGAAAATAAAATAAATAAATAAATAAATAAAAATAAAGAAGAATGAATTAGGAATATTATTTGGTTTTACATCGTTTTACTGTTTCTTGTGTCCTTTATGCAATTTGAATTAAAAATGTTTGCCCAAGTTACTTAGGGAATAAAGGATTTATGTACATTTATAATTAAATATTTTTCTTAAGTTGTGAACTATTATTGTTAAATTATCATTATTAATAAGTGTACTTTAAGGTCTAAGTTTCTTCAAAATTCTATCAATCTAGGCATATTAATAAAAAAGTTCTAATTAAAAAACTTTGAATTCATTTTACTTGAAAAGTTGTTTATGTTACATAATATATCCTTCATGTACTTATGTCTTCAATAATTTAAACTCTCTCTATCTATTATCTATCTATCTATATAGCCCTTGCTGTCCAGTTTTGGACATAGGCCTCCTCTTCCTTCTTCCACGTCTTTCTGTTGTAGGCAGTATCCACTTCGGGCCTGCGTGTTTCTTTAAGTCATCTGACCATCTCAGATTTAAACTATATAACACGGAAATTATTTGAAGGGTATATGGGGTATAGAAGTAATCAAAAGAAAACCGAATACGTTCCGTAGGAGATTAACAAAAGGCGACAGAATCACGATTAAGTACTGCTGCGACTACAAATATCCCGATATTAATATCTCGCACCATCAACCATTGAAAAAAGCTTTAAGAGAAAGAAATACGGCAGCATAGAAGAGCCGTTACAATGCTAAAACAATAATCTATGAGACCAATCCACCAGAAAAGAAAATAAAAAGAGGATATATAAGGCTATAGTAAAAAGTATCACTCTATTCAGCTGTAAGGTATACCAACTGAAAGAAAGAATATTGGTAACGCTAAGAGCAAGCAACGGAAATGGATTTTTGAAGAAGAGCAGCAGGAAGATCTAGAAGAAAAAGAATTAACAACGAATGCATTAAAGAAATAATGAGAATTAAACGAATGATCAGTAATGATTTATTAACAAAACAATTTATCCTTCAGACAAAGAATAGACAATCAAATAAGAGAGTAAAAGAAACATAGAAGAGAGTATATGTAGTAACTGGACAAAATGGCGATTGAAAGTCGAAAATGGCAGAGAACGTTATAAATCGACATGTAGTAGTTATATATATTTGCTTTAATATTAAATTATTCTATTGTTTATATAAATTTAAATACTTAAGTATTTTAACCATTAAACCAATATTGGGATATTATGAAATTATCGTCAAATCGTCGCTTTCAAGAATCGTAATAATAACTTGAATATTGAAACATTCAACATATATCTGTTTCCAATTAACACTTCAGCACACCGGACGGAAATAGAGACATATCGTTTTAGACTCCATTTCAGAGGAAACGTTGGATAATTATAAAGCTTTCACATATCCAATAAACCATTAGTTTGCACTAGTTGTCAAAGTAGATATATTTAATTCTCAAATTTGATTTCCAAACTGATAAAGAGAAACCACGTTTGATGCACTGCTGCACAAGGGACTTGAATAATTTGGATGAAGTCATTTAATAACTCGAGCGAATCTTCGAACAAATCTATTTTAAACTAATTAGACAGTATTTGGTGATGTCATTTAGTAAAACTATCTAGAATATGAAAAATTGCTATTTAGTTATTTTGCCGCTACTTTATATTTATGATAAAAACTAATTTATTTATATCAATTATGGAACTATTTTCCAATTTAAACTAAAAAGTATACATAACTATGATATACAATAACAAAAATCTTACTATCTGGATTCGACTGAAAAATAATACTAAATCACAGAAAAAATTGAAAATATTCTCATAGATTTAAATTTTTATGAAAAATCTCAAAGTTAATATTAACCAATAATAAAAAGTAATTAATAATAATATTAAGCGAAGAGTAAGACAACTAAATTGGTCATATCCTAATAGTAAAAATTTGTTTAAGGCATTAAATACCTACGCCTGTTCCGCGCTACTCATTTGGTATTATAAAGTGGTCAAAAACGAATATAGAGGGTCTTCAGCGGAAAGTAAGAACACTTCTCACAAAGGCGCAAAAACATCATCCACGCAGTGCAGTAGAGAGAACAACATTACCGCGGTATCAAGGGGGAAGAGGACTTATGGATATAGAAATAGAGGGATAAACATATTGCTAATTTAAAAACTTATTTTCAGGTACAGGCTGAGACATCTACTTTACATCGAGTAATTTGCACAGTAGATGATACGAGGCCGCTTAAACAAAGGGAACAAGAAATGCGCATAAACCACCTGACCCAGCAAGAAAAAATGCACACCTGGATGAGTAAACCTCTGTATGGGCGACATCTCAATGAGATCATCCAAGAATATGTCGACAATACAGCGTCGAACTATTGGTTGCCATTAGTAAAGATGTTTCCAGAGACTGAGCGTTTCCTACTTGCTATTCAGGATCAGGTTATTTCAACTAAAAATTACCTGAAATATATTGTTAAAGATCCTCAAGTCAAAAATGACAAATGCTGAAATTTATGTCAAAGCCAAGAAACCATCCAACATCTTGCCGGTGGCTGCCAGACATTTGTCGGTGCTGATTATAAAGAACGCCATAACTCAGTAGAAAAGATTATCCACCAAGAACTAGCTACTGAGACTTCTAGACTACTACAAGAACAAACTGGGACTTCTCCAAACCGACCATCTTCCTTATTATCAATACGTCCCTGACATAATGCTTGAAAATGACAACTACAAGCTATACTGGGACCGCACTGTACCACTAACCAGTGGCCCATAATAGACCGGATCTCATACTAGTGTATAAACTTACCAGGCAAACAACACTTGATTGATATGGCGATACCTAACACTAACAATTTGCGTGTTAAATAAAACGAAAAGATCGCCAAGTATAGAGATTTAGAAATACAAATCAAAAGACAATAAAGAATGGAAAGTATCCAGACAGTACCTATTGTTCTATCTTCTACTGGTGTTATTTTCAAAAACCTCCTAGTGAACATAAAACAGCTAGGTCCAAATGAACATCTTTATAAAGCAATGCAGAAAGCTGTACTCCTCGCGACGTCCAGATGTGTACGAAAATTTTTGGGAGATACTCCAACATACCAAGTCACCTAGGGCTTGATAACACCAGGAAAGAGTCCCACAAGAGCTCAATTCTTTTGATACCGTAGGTATCTGAGATGAGTGAATTTTCCCCTTAGAGGGAGTGTGAGTCGTATTGCTAAATCTGGATAAAATTTATAATTATCTTACAAAAAACACCGTGCTATTTATTCTGTATTATACACTATCAAACTGCAAAATATACACTTGCTTTGCATAATTTTTATTTTATCCATGTAAATTTGATACCAGGGAAGTCTAACAACAAATTCACCCTAACAATTTACTCCTTTTTCTGCTTTCTGTTGGAATTCTATCGTACATTATTATACATGGGCTTTCAGCGATCTCTATCTTGAGCAAAAAACTACCAATTTGTTACAGCTATTTTTTTTGATGACATCTAACCATGTCATCTGTGGTCTTTCTCTTGGTCGTCTAGTTTTGTAAGATCTCCAATGTTGTATTGTGACAATTTTTGTTGCCACAATATTGTTGTCAAAGGATCTTCTCTCGAGTTATTACAGATGCTTCCACATCTTCAGTTGTTTTTAAACCATTAGTGTATATGTGAGTATGATTTTTATAGATTATTGCATCTTTCCTGTTTATTATAGTTACCAATATTTTAAAATAGTTTGTCATTTAACTTTAATATTATAAAAATATAAAAACATTAAATTAAGTGAATAAATTATATATCTGCAAATCATATATTTTTTAAAGAGTAGGAGTCGTCTTACCTATTAGAGAGAACATAGACCTTTTCGGATCTCCTTTGTAATTGACTCCTTAAATGTATCAATTCCCAAAGGAAATGGGAATCCATATCCTTCGCGGATGATGCTCTTACTTGAACTTCCGTTACGGGGATCAGCACCTGATACCTAATTATTTCGACTTCCGACGACGAACTTTTACTGGCGACGCCCTAAAAATGGAAAATACATTTAGAACTTTCTAATATATCGATTTGAAAAAGGTCCTTTATCACAGAGTGTAAAAAATATTAACTTTTCTAATATATGATTATAATGTTACTTTGATTCTTAACCGTACTGACATAAGTACAAAACTAAATTTTTATTAATACTTAGAAAACAACATGATCATTATCAAATATTCCATAGCCAATGACTGATGGTCATATAGAAACAGTTTTTAAAACTCAACATACGATTTTTGTCTCGGTAATTGTTTCTAAAATGACTTCCAGAAGGCTCATTCATATGTATTTCATAAGAGACATATATTTATCAGTTTTATTTACAAAAGTTATACACAAGACGATTTAATTAGTCACTTTAGTTTATTGTTTAACAAATGGCGGTAAATTTATTACTTTTTTAAGTAATTTTTTAGTTGGTGAAAAATTCCATTTTGGCATCAGCATTCAATCTGTTAATAATACAATGTAAGTTGCATGTATTTGACATACATCGAGCAGCTTGATAATGATTTAATTATAAACAGAAATTATCTATTTACCCATTACGTCTTTCATTTTTCATAGATTTTTCTTTTTATTAGTTTTGGTTTTCGGATAACATATTATAAGGCCATGAAATGGGGAAGGGGGAAATGAAATGGAGTGGTGGAAAAAGAATACGGCTAAAAATAGGTATGGCAGATCTAAAATAGAAGAAGATAATTAAATATACAAGGTGGCAAAGAGAAAAGCAAAGCTTGCTGTACAACTGCTGAGGAAAGATCGTCGGCACAGCTATATGAAGGCTTGGAAACACCCGAGTGGATGAAAAGATTATACTGTATTGCTAAAGCTGTATAAGTCATTAAAGAACTCACTTACGACAGATTAAAAGAGCGGATGGAAGAGTGTTAAGAACCGATGTTTATATAAAGCAAAGATGGTATGAATACTTTAGTAAGTTGCTAAGTAAAGACTACCAGAAGAGAGACGGAGGATGCAGGATCCCAAATGAGAATGTAATCCCAGGGATAGCAAGAGGCCAAGTTGTTGAGGCGTTAAACAGGATAAAGAATGTTAGAGAAAGATATTGTGATGGTATTATTGTATAAAGATAAAGGGGACATTCAGGAATGTAAGAAGTATAGAGGAATACAGTTAATGTCCCACAAAATGAAAATTTGAAAGAGAACTGTGAAGCAAAGGTTAAGGAGAGAAACATCGATAGAAGAACAGTTTGGGTTTATGCCGGGAAGGGGAAAATGTATGTCTTGTTTGCGTTAAAACAGTTGATAGAGAAAATGATATTTATAGATCTTGAAAAGGCGTACGATACAGTACCTAGACAAGAGTTATAGAAGATGTATGGGAGAGAAATAAATTACTGAGAGGTACGTAAGGCTCATAAAGAATATGTTTGAGGGAGCGTACACCACAGTCAGGACTTCTATCATATTTACCAAAAGTTTTTCAGTAAAGGTTAGTTTGCATCAAGGCTCCTCACTAAGTCCTTACCTGTTTAACCTTGTTATGGATATACCGACATGAGAAAGTGAGGAAGGGGCTCCTCGGTCAATGCTCTTTGCTGATGATATCGTGTTAATAGAGAAGGTGTTGGAAGAAACAGAAATGGTTGATGACATAGAATTCTTTGGAGAAAAGCTTGGACAAGTAGGACAATTTAAATACCTTGGCTCCTACATAAAAGAAAATGCCCACAGGATACAGGTTGATTGGTTTAAGTGGGAGCGAATTAGCAGGGTACTTTGCGATTAAAAAATTGGGGAAGAGCTAAAAGGAAAGATAAACAAGAGTGTGATGAAACTTGCATTGATGTAGGTATAGCGGTGAAGTGTGGCCTATAAAGAAGATCAAGAAAAAGAAGATAGAGTAAATGAAAATGTTACGGTAGATGTTGGGTAAACTAGAAGAAACAGGATCAAAAACAACTTGATTAGGGACAGAGCCGGGATGACAACAGTCTTAAAAAATATTCAAGAGCAAAGACTGTGATGGTTTGGTTATGTCAGACGTATAGATGAAAATTATGTGGGAGAAAGGATAGACCTATTAAAGGTTGATGGGAGAAAGGTAAAGGAATACCGAGAAGAAAATGGAAGAACTGTGTTGCAGAGGACTTGATAGAGAAGGTTTAGGTGAAGAAGATCCGATGTACAGAAATGAGTGGCGACGAAAATTAAGGAGCCACGACCCCTGAAAAGGGAAAAGCTGAGGAAGAATAAGGTGTTCGCATAAAATATTAGGTTTTAGTTATTAAGGACTTAAAAGGACCTTATTAAGATCGTGTAGTTTTCTGTCCGTTTATCTGTGCCATAGATCTTGAATGAAAAATCTAGTCTTGAGATTTGGTAAGTAAATCACTTTATCACATTAGAAATAAATTTGAGATTGCTAGTTCCTTTTTCTAACAGACGAGATACTAATCTTAAAATTTGGTACATATATTCTTTTGGTCAACAGAAAAACCCTATTTAATTTGGCGCCATAGTTCATTTTTATCTTCCTATATTTTTACGCAGTTTTTTTCTTGAAGAAATAGTTCTTGATTCGTGAAATTTGGTACAGAGTCTCTTCTTGGTGTAAGGAAGAACTCTATTAAATTTAACGTAATAGTTCTTACTCTTCTCATATTTTTATGCTTCTCCTTTTTTTGATAGTAAAACGTTTCAGCCTTTTTGGCTACGGATTTCTGTTGCTGTAGTGAAGAATAATATTAAATTTAAGCTCAATAGGTCTACTTTTTATTCTGACATCCTTATACATTTTCAAGCGTCTTACACAGAGACTTCTAGTTCTTTTTTTACCAACTTCTTCCATTTTTTTAACAGTACCACATATCCAGAAAAAAAAGAAAAGAAATATTTTTAGTTAAACGTAATAAATTAAAATTAAAAAAAATGAACCACACGGTTTTGCTTACTAAAGAGTTAATTGCTTATATATAGTCCGTCTAGAGAGTATCCGGAAAAAAGAAAGTAGAATTATAATATTATGGTATTTATTTCTATCACTTGAAATATAAAATTTCAACAAATAGTTCAGCTCATTTATTTATACAACCTCCATTTATATCTAAACACTAAACTAAACGTCCAGGTTTACCCGAAACTAGAGCCATAATTTTGGTAATGGTGCCTGTAAAACTGACCGACTCAAACCTTCTTTATCGCGTAGCGCTGGTCGTTCCGCCTCAATCTTCATCAGTTCCCATATGTTTTCAATGGGGCTAAGATCTGAAGATGCTGATGGCCATGGAGTTATTGTCAATTCGTGTTCTTGCATACAAGCTTGAGTATAAGCAGAAGTATGGTATATTGCATTATCTTGCTGAAAACGCTACCCCTCTGGGTATAAAACATAAGCCGTTTCAAGAAGAAAACCATTTAGGATGTCACAATATTTCGCATTATTCACAGTACCATTAACTATACAGACAGGTGTAGCACCACGCTGAGATATTGCTCCCCAAACCATTATTTTAGTGGGAAATTTGGAAATTTGAACGGTAACATTTCTTCTTCTTTTAGATGATTTGCACCAAGCTGGAAACAACTTTCATCAGTATTATTCTGAAGCTATTTTCTTGTGGCATTTTAAATTAAATACTATTTAACTTTTAATAAGCCACAATTAAAGGTAAAAATACGTTTATTGACGTTTCAATTTCCACCTCGGAAATCGTTCTCAAAATACAAAACGTTTTGTATATTGAGAACGATTTCCTAAGTGGAAATTGAAACGTCAATAAACGTATTTTTACCTTTAATTGTGGCTTCTTCCCAGTTAAATAGTAATTAACTTTCATCAGATACAGTAGCGCACCTAGAATTTTGCTCTGGGGAGGGGGGGTTTTGGTCGGGCACCGAAATTTTTTTATGCTACCTCCACCATTTTAAGTCCTTAAAATTTGTGAATAACAGTGTCGGAATAGGGTCCTGGGGGGGGGGGGTTTAACCCCCAAGACCCACCGGGTGCGCTACTTGATATAAAGATATTATTAAAATTATCTTCTCGAAAACGTTGACAAAATATATTCTTCGTTGCCTTTGAGGTGTCATTGTAAGGATTTTTTTGGATTCCTTGATATGTAGCCTTGCTTCAGTGACATGCGGACAGTTTCTGGGCCCATTTTTATTCTTCGTTGATTTCCAAATATGTTCGCTAATTTTCGAAACCCTAGACGCGGATTTTGTCGTCCTCAAGCCACTAAAGCTTTTAAATTGTTTGCGCGAATCTTACGTGGTCTACCCGAAACTCATGTCTCTATTCTATGCCATTCTTACCCTCATCATTGTCTAATACACTGCACTTTTTCATTGTTCAGTCCATTGCACTAATTTTTTAACGTTTCGGACACCCTTTCTATGCAAATATTTCACCACTTTTCTTTTTTCTACTTGCGACATTATTTCACAAATCTTAAGTCTGTTTACAAACAACAATATTTGATAGATTGTGTTGTCATGAAATTTTGTCCAGAACCTACTAAAAGGAAACCTATTAAAATTAGGAAAAATATAAAATTTCGGATAGTTTCTAGACGAACTATACTATTACATTTTTATATTTAATCTTGTACTTACCATAAGCTTTTTCTTTTGCCTTAATCGCTCTTTACAAAGGAATACAACGGCAGTCTTAAAAACAAAACACATAGCATGCAATTCCAATCCTTTTTTAATTTTTCCTAGGAAATCCGAAATATTTAACCATTCTACTCCTCCATAATATAAAAGGTCACCTGGGCTTAGGTCTATCGTCTGCAAAATAAAAAGTATATTATTTTGTATGATATTATGGCATGCACCAAAACATGTTTTGTATATTTTTTATATAAATGTAAATATTTTCTTATGTACACATGTCCTATATATACCTTTTAGACCATGTAAGTTCTACGATATTCTAATAGGAACCACGTTTCGCATTATGAAAAATTCTAACAAACTTTGTTAAAAAAAATCCATTTCTGTAGTCGTACATAGTTAAATATGTACTAACAGCCCAGCAGCTATTAGACAATGTGTTGACTTCATGGGAACAATATAGCCTGGTAATATAAAATATATCTAATAAGTAAGATATAAAATATATCAAAGGCAGAAACATTACCAAATGCCTAAACTCCATTCTCTGGGATAAAAAAATCACAAGAACGACGAAAAAACGAATATATAAGACGATGGTTGAGCCGGTGGTAACATACGGAGCAGAGATATGGGACACTAGTAAAAGAAACAGGAAAAAATTACAAGCTACCAAGATGGATTTTATGAAAAAAACTGTAGATTGACAAGGATGGACAGAATCCGCAATGAAGAAATAAAACGTAGAATGGAGCAAGAAAAAGACATTATAGATGAAGTCCAGAAAAAACAACTAACTTGGTTCGGTCATGTAAACAGAATGGCAGACGAGAGGTGGCCAAAGAAAATATTAAAATGGATCCCAACCGAAAGAAGGAAAAGAGAGCGTCCAAGAAGAAGCTGGCGAGATGACGTGAATGAAGCCATGGAAGGAAGACAGCTAAATGAAGCCGACACCCGAGATAGGAAACGATGAAAACTAGGGACAGGAAAACAACGACAGTTGTAAACAACCTGTACTATATATAAGATAAAATATATTTGTGGTCAGACGAAGAAGCATCCGTGTTGGCCTTATCAACAAAAATTCAGCTAATGTAAATAACATTGTACTGATTAATTATACTTAACCAGTAGTGTAATGTATCAGCCTCATACTCAAGGGAAACAACCCCCCCCCCCCCAAGCACAATCGCTAACCAGTTAGCCCTGGTATGTAACAAGTCAACATAGCAAGAAAATAAAAGAAAAAAAATAAGAGTAAAAACCGCTTAATAGCATTCGCATGGGACACCTAAAATATAGTACATATTAGAATTTGTCATATAAAGTTACTTACTTGTTTACATGATTTTTGGTGCTGCCTAAATAAGTGGTCAAAGATAGCACCGTACTCTTCGTGTATCCTCTGCATTTCATTAATATGTTCGGCTACTTTCTCCATTCCTTTTAAGGCCTCTGAAAAAAAGAAATAAATGAACAAACGTTAACCACTATCTTACATTTAAACGTTAGTAACATAAATTGATAATGATTAATAGCATTTATTTTTTTAAACTGGTTTTTTAGTATCTTTAATGATATTTTTATTTTCAAAATATAAATGTACTGTAGGTCGCTATTAGAGAGTAGCTTTTCCTTACAGTTCAAAATTTCAGTAGTCCTGAAATCTTCCAAAAGTTTTTCCTATTATCTTTATCTTGCGAGTCCTCTTCTGTGTTTCACATTTACGGCTCCTCATTTAGAACAATTTTTGATATTTTGCTTCTTTCCATGCCAGTCATCGCGTTGACGATAGAGACAGCAGTAGCGCTTTTAATGATAATACAAGGGAAAATCCAAGATCAGAGAAGTGTAGAAAGAAGAAGAATCTCATGGTTGCGTTACTTGAGGGAATGGTACGGATTCACATCAATTGAACTATTCAGAGCAGCAGCATCTAAGATCAGAATAGCCATGATGATTGCCAATTTCCGTCACGGAGATAGCACGTTAAGAAGAAGACTGCAATAATTGTGCAGCGAAATTGTTAGGAGGTTGTAGTTGTTGCCATATTTTAGCCTACGAAAAGTCCGATCCCTACTAAATAGAACATGTTTGAAGTGTCTAAGGGTGACGACTACCACAACTACGTATTAACGTTAAAAATTATAGAAAATTTAAATTATGTAAACAGAATAAAAATGCATTAAAAAGAACGTTTTCAGTCTTACTAGACCATCATAGTCAAAACAGCATATTAGTAATTGAAACTAGTCACATAATAAGGCCTAATAATCCTTATGTTAGGTACATGAAAATAATAAATTTTAAGATTTATGTGATTGTAACGATGAGTCCAAGCCATCACCGTTAAACCAGCGTGCGCGCGAACCAACCCATGAAGTAGGAGTATATCGACAGTAGAAAGGGCAAAACTAATTACCAAGCTCCGCTATATAAACCGCAACATTTCCTCATAGACGGAGAATCGACAGGTGTTGACTGAAGGTTCTCTTCTTCCCTACCCCGGCTTGTGGACGTGTTGAGTTCACAAGTTGTTCCGTCCCATACCGCCGTTACCCGAAGAGCGTGTTGAGCTCTTCACTACCCATACTCTGAAGCAGTCGTGTTGAGACTGTCGAGGAGTGTCCTGTTAACCCGAATCACGTAAGGGACGTGTTGAGTTCCTTTCCTTTCTTTGTACCTATCGTCCGCTGTTATTAAATCGATACGACGTTCCCGTAAAATTTCAAATACACTTTCGCTTGCCGATAAAACTAATTTCATATGACAAGGTCAAACTTAATTTGAATAAATAGGCCAGGTACTGAGAAGACTAAACCAAATTGTAAATATGTACATAAGATTTTTGTCAATTTAATTTAAGGAAGACAATAAAGTTTTATTTTGGTTTTGAACTCTGTCTCTGACTGTCTAAAAGCTACCCGGATAGTGACTCCTACGAGAGGACATCACAAATGGCGCCCGAGCAGAAAAATACGTTTTAAACAATAATACCGACCGAATTCCGAATTTTATTTTCATGAGACAGTACTACAGTTCAAATTTTAATCAAATACAGGGTGATTCACAGTTCAAAAATGACAGACGCCCGGAAACGTCGAAGGTTAGTTGGGTGTACCTATTAAAGCAAGGCGAACTTATAGCCGAATTAACAAACAGAGAACAGCCGACGGAAGGGAATTTCAGCGAGCTAAGAGCGAGAGTAGTTGCGATCATCAAGGCACCAACTCAAAAAGGCCAAAACCCAGAGGAAATAGAAGAAAACCAGATGGAAGACAGACAAAGAAAGATGGAAATAGTACGCAAATGGGGGTTACACTTTGACGGTTCAAGAGACCCAATAGAATTCATAGAACGGTTGAAAGAACTCCAGACAGCTTACGGCCTACAAGACACCCACGTTTTACAAGCTCTACCAGAAACATTAAACGGGAAAGCATTACTATGGTACAGAAACAATAATAAATATTGGAACGAATTAAAAGACTTCGAACAAGATTTCCGCAATTTCTTCGTTTCCTCCGTTCTCACGCAATCTCTGGAAGCTCAAATCCGGAACCAACTCCAACGAAACAACGAAGATGTAAAAGACTACATCATTGATATTCAAGCAATGATCAGAAGACACGGTGAATTCAATCACCAAGAAGAACTAAACAGGATATACACCAATATGAACCCGAAATACAAGTTGTATATAAAGAGGCAAGACGTATCGTCAACACAGGACATCATCAGACTAGCGGAAGAATATGATATGGTCCAAAAAGAAATATATAACAAAAAACAATACAAGGTGTTACTGGATACAGGCAAATAGTCGTAATAACAAAATACAGAATTTCGACAGACAGGCTTGTTGTTGGAGATGCGACCGCAGAGGCCACAATAGAAGAAACTGCAGAGCTATCGCTGTACTCTTCTGCAGCCATTGCGGAACCCGAGGAACAACTTCCGATAACTGCCAATGTAGAAGCCGACCGGAAAACTCCAACAGGACTGGACAAGAAGGAGGCAACCAAGTCAGCATTTAGAGTCCTCCCTAACAACCTCCAGCTACGCACACTATACAGATCAACGACCCCACACAACGATAACGTTCAGCAACGGTAAAAAGTTAAAAGCACTAATAGACACAGGAGCCCAAAATTCGTTTATAGGACAAAAAGGTAAAAAAATATTGGAACAATGTGGAACAAGAAGTGACAGAAAAGCTTTAAAGATCACGCTGGCAGATGGAAAAACCAGCAACATAGAAATCTGTTTTACAGCAAAATGTTCCATAGACAACGTTTGGACAAAAAACCAATCTACATTTTTTACCAAACCTAGCTTCAGAAGTAGTACTGGGAATGCATGAAATAACAAGATGGGGCCTTGATTTATCAAACATCTTAAATAGAAATCGCGTAAGAAAGAGAGAACAATACCCAACCAGGACAGAACACGGATCCAGATCGTACAATGCAGACAATAACCGAATACCGACCAATTCCAGGGTCAACGAAACACCAACCGCAAGATATCCGCTCCAACAGAGAAGCAAAATATATAACAAAACGACCTACCGACTACCGACCGATACCGCGGTCGAAGACCAGACCGAAAATATACCGACTACCGACCGATACCGCGGTCGACAACCAGACCGAAGATATACCGAACTACCGACCGATACCGCGGCCGACGACCAGACCGAAGATATACCGTCATACATACCGGAATTCACGAACAGTCCGTGAATCAGATCGATCATAAAAGATTTCTCTTTAAAGGAAAGCACTGATCCCTACTCTAAAGAAGGACGTTACTGTCCTGAGGAAGATACCAGTTAGTATCATTCTCCATTCGATACAATGCAAAACATTACGAGACTGAATTACAGAGTCGTTTTAAATCCAATGGTTTGAAATTCTTAAAAAGAAATTCTTAATAAAATTTTAAAAATAAAATAATATGTGTAAAAGAAACTGTCATTTATTGTTTACATGAGTAATATAATAATATGGTTTCAAATATAAAATATCCTACTTAAATTGTTTAATTATTAAATCAGTTGAATCCTTTGGAGTAATCGTTTGTGTGATTAATTATTGTGCCAAGATATTGGTAGTTTTCAACTTGTTCTAAAGCACTACCGTTAATTGTCAGGCTTTCACCATTATTTTGGGTTTTTGATATCCTCACAAATTTGGTTTTCTTGGTGTTTATTGGTAATCCATATTTTTTTCTATACTCAAGTATCTTGTTCATTAGCTTTTGGAGGTCTTGGAGGTTGTCTGCTATTATGATAGTATCGTCCGCATATCTAATATTGTTAATTGGTGTTCCATTGACCTTAATTTCTGCTGTTTCTCCCTCAAGAGCTCTTTTCATAATTTCTTCAGAGTATGCATTGAATAGTAGTGGTGACAATACACACCCCTGTCGCACTCCTCTTTTAACTTCGAACTCTTCTGATGTGTGTTCATTAATGCGTACGTATGCCTGCTGTTTATAATATAGAAATGGTATAATTCGAAGGTCATTGTGTTGTAGTTGTTATGCTTTGAGAATGTCCATTAGCTCTTTGTGGCGGACTTTGTTGAAAGCTTTGTTGTAGTCTATGAAACAGACGTACATATCTTGGTTCACATCCAAGCATCTCTGGATCAGTACATTGAATACAAAGAGAGCTTCACGGGTACCTACGCCATTACGGAATCCAAATTGAGTTTCTTCAATATCCATATAAAGTGTTTTGTAAATGCGTTTATGAATGATCTTTAAAAACAATTTAAGTGTGTGAGACATCAGGCTACGGCATGGTACGGTGGTCGGTGCATTCTCTAGCACTTTTCTTTTTTGGGACACAAATGAATGTTAAGGTCAACCATTTGTTGGGTATGTCACCCGATTGATAAATTTTATTAAAAAGCTTTAAGAGGACATCAATGTACTCATTTTCTATTATTTTAAGGATATCAATAGGCAGTTGATCTGGCCCCGGGCTTTTTCCGTTTCTGGTGTTCTTTAGTGCATACAGTATTTCTTCCTTTATAATTTCTACACTTGTTTCTCTGTCCTCAGAAGACAAGTCTTGTAGGTTTTCTCTTTCGTCGTCGAAGAGCTCTTCCATATACTCTTCCCATCGTTTTAATTTTTCGTTAGTCGTTATCATGGTATTTCCATTTTTGTCTAAAAGAGTTGTGTTGTGGTTTCTTTGTTGCAGCCCTGCCATTTTTTTAAACTTTTTATGTATTATAGTTTATTCGTCTTCCGGGTTTCGACCGTGTCATTTGTGAGTGAAGCAAAAGTGGGTTCATCTCGACGTTTCGCTACAATTGTATGTAGCTTCTTCAGGAGAACAAAGAAAAAGAAAAAGAAGACAGGAAGATGGGTAGTTAGCAACGGTAACTCAGTTACTCAACGCAACCAGAGGCGAATACTAACTACCAAGATGGGCATTTGGTCACAGTAACTCAACTACTTAACGCAGCCAGAGGTGAAAACCAAATACCAGGACAGGGATTCACGTCCAACAGCTCAGAACACTAACGCGTCGAGAGGCGGGGAGTGAATCCGACGATTACTCTGCTACCGCTCTATTTATAGTCGCGGTGACCTGTCGTGTCGGGACGTATCGGCACACTCCGTGGCGCGAACGTCAAGAAGCGCGCGCTGGCCAATCATGTGGCTGCATCGTGGTAGCGGGACCGGACGGCGGCTCTAGACTGAGATTCCAGATGGGAGACAAGTAGTATCCTTCCTCTCGATTGATATTATGTGGATTTTTTCGGATCTCTAGAGATTCGCGGATTTTCCTGGAATAAAAGAAGGGGCTCTTAGAAATAATATGGGTTTTTTCGAACAATATGGAATGACCGGTTTCTTGGCAGTGTTCTGCAACTGCAAAATGGGAGAAAAGACCTGATCGAATGCATCTTTGATGCTCTTGAATCCGAGTTTTGACGGAACGACCAGTTTCACCAATATACACATGTCCACATGAACAAGGAATAGAATAGACACCACAGGAAGATAGGGGCGGTAATGGGTTCTTAGGAGAGGGTAGATATTGTGAGATTTTCTTGGGTGGTCGAAAAGTAGTCCGATACCTTCTTTGCGAAGAATTTTGCCAATCCTATCAGTGACACTTCGAATATACGGAAGAAAAGCCACAGGAGTATTACCCGAAGATTCTGAATTTGTCGTCCTAGGGTGTAAAGGGGGATGTAGATGTCGGTGTGTAATATTTTGAATTGTGGACATAGAGTAACCGTTGGCGACAAGGGTTTTTTGCAGATGGCCAAGTTCTTCTCTAAGGTTGTCAGGTTCAGAAATCGAAATGGCCCGATGGATGAGAGAGTTGATCACAGAATTCTTTTGGGTAGGATGGTGGTGTGATGAAGCATGTAGGTAACGATTCGTGTGACTCTTTTTTCTATAAACAGAGTGACCCAAACGGCCATTGGGCTTGGAGGTGACTAACATATCGAGAAAGGGAAGGGACCGATTATTTTCTACTTCTATTGTGAATTTTATACTCGGATGTTGTGAGTTAAGATGATCTAGGAAGGGAGAAAGGGTATGTTGACCATGGGGCCAGATGATAAATGTATCATTAACGTAGCGGAACCAGACTTTCGGTTTTAAGGGGTAAGATTCTAGGGCTAAAGACTCAAAGGCTTCCATGAAAATGTCAGCCATGACAGGGGAAAGAGGAGAACCCATTGGTGTTCCAGATATTTGTTTGTAGAAATTGCCTCTAAAAGAAAAATATGTTGAAAGGAGGCATTTTTCCGCAAGATCTGCCAAAACCAAATACTTGTTATCATTGGTCAAGTGATCTCGCAGAACAACTAGAGAGTCATGTATGGGGATATTGGTAAATAGGGATGATACATCGAAACTAACGAGAATGTCTTGGGGATCGACCGTGAGGGAGGAGATTAAGGTGATGAAATGTGTGGAATTTCGGACATAAGAAGAGGTACGACCAGTATAGGTCTTAAAGTGATTCGACAAGTACTTTGCGAGTTTGTAGGTAGGAGAGTTAATCGTGGTCACATTGTCGTGTGTAATGTCCTTATTTGTAGTAGCATCATTCTTTCTGAGATTGGGGCAAAGCCCTCTATTGACTTGTTGACCTCTGTATAGACAATAATTGCTACTCCACGTCTATGTTGGTTATCAGTGTTTCCCGAATAATATAAGGTACCGGTTTTTGTTGAAAAATATTCTGAGTTAGGCCACCATGTTTCGCTTACTCCTAATATGTTTATATTCAATCTTCCCATTTTCTGAAGGATGTTATGCATTTTACCAGGTTGATACATGCTTTTGACGTTCCACGTACCTATTTTTGTTTTTGATAATTTTAGTGTGTCTTGTTTCCAAGTTTGACAAGGGTTTCGCCGGTTAACGACCTGGCAGTCCTTGTCTGTTCCTCCCCTGCCGAATCTTGGGCTTCGATTCCCATTATTAGTTTCCTTTTTTCCTTTAGTACTCGTTGCCATGATAATTGTACTAGAGATATACAATTGATTACTTGATTCATTCGCCTTTGGTGCCAATTTCTTAGCACAATGATAAAAGAGTGCCCTTCCACTTACTAACTCATCCGCCCGAAGCCGTTGGTCAGTAAGTGTGGGATTGCTTATACCGGCAATTTTCACCATATCTGGCTACCCTCACTTAGTTTAGCCTGCAGACCAATGCAATGGAGCCATAAGTGAGAGTTAGCTGTCTTATGAGGACCAGTTATCAAGAACCATCTCCCATCTATGACGCTCGATGTGGTCGTTCCGATAAAAGGTGCTACCTCTATAAAACAACTCTATACCTCTACACCCTCAACTAACACCATAGAGCGTTCAAATTACCTCCACCCCACATCATTACTGGGCTGATAATGCTGGGATACTGTACAGTCCCTACAATGTTACACTTCGCGTAACATTTCCCAGATCTTCTGTATACTCTATTTGGCCCGTCATCAGAAAAAAGACAATATTTAGATTCATCGGTAAATAATACTCTTTTCCAATCTTCATTATTTCAACTGACATCTTTACTAGCAAAATGCAACCTTTGCCGTCTATGCTCTGTGGTCAATATTGGGGCAGTGCGGTATAGGGGTCGAAACCTGTTGTCTCAAACTAAATAAAATAGATTGCGTGGAAGTCTGTAATTTATTTCCACAACATTGTTAATCATTTGAAAATTATTCGTTAATTTTTGTGCATAGCTATTTGGCAGATAATAAGCCACTTGAGCACACTTTAAACTTTGCAGATTGTTGATTTCTGCAGTGTAGTCATTATTTTCTGTTATAAGTGTTCCTAGGTAAGTGCACTTTTTTACTCTTTCGATCTGCTGGCCCTCTACTATCAAGATTTCGTTAGTATTATGACTATTTTTACAAATTTTCATAAACTTCGTCTTTTTGATATTGAGCGAAAGTCCGTACTCCCTACTACACATTACTATTTCGATTATGAGTCTTTTGAGGTCTTGTAAACTATAGGCTGTTATTACTGCATCATCTTTATATCTGATATAGTTAACTAAGACTCCATTTTGCATTGATATCGAAAAAAATAAACATTGTCATTGTAACATAACCTTTTGCGTTTTTTAACACCGGTCTTCGTTGGCAAAGTTTGTTGTTTATCACACAGCACTTACAGTTCTTTATAGTCTTTTTTTATTACCTATTTAAATCACTTCACGAATTTTTCTAAACCAATTGCAAAATATAATAAGTTGCTTACCTAATAAATGTTGGTGCTCGTCACTATCAGGATCAGTCAAGTTGCCGAGTTGCTGAAGAAGTAAAGGATACTTAAGTATCCTTTGAATTGGTTTAATTAGGTAAGATTCTAAAGTTGAAGAATGTTGCTGTTTTGGATTTCGAGCCGACAAGAACTCTTGAAGCGCCTGGTTGCCTTCATCTAGAAAATTAACAAAAAAATTTTATTATATGATAATATTAAATATAGATTAGATCAGATTTATTATTAAAACAATACACTATGAAAATATTTAAGCAATAAATAATAAAGTAATGGGCAAATTTTTTAGAAATAAACTAAAAACTACCTTAAAAAAAAATTAATTTTAGCATTGTTGAGTTATTCTTTTCCACGAGCAGTATGAAAAATTGTAGTCTTCATGGATACATTAATATATATATATATATATATATATATATATATATATATATATATATATATATATATATATATATATATATATATATATATATATATATATATGTATATATATATATATATATATATATATATATATATATAATCGGTTTTAAAACGTCCTCCGACGTCTTCCGATGCCCAATCTCCATGCATCTCTATCTTCCCAAAGATCTTCGTCTAAACCTCTCTCTCGGATCTCTCTGTCTATTCCTTCTCTCCAGCTCTTTCTGGGTCGGCCTCTTTTTCTCTTTCCATGTGGTGACCAATCTATAATCTGTTTGGGCAGACGATGTTCTGGCATTCTTTGCACATGTCCATACCACTTTAGTTGTTGTACTCTTATATCTTCGACAATCGTATGTGTGATATGATACATTAATAAACATACCATTTTTCGTCATCCATCATTCAAAGTTATTTTTTGCCGGTGCATTATCAGGAATTGCATAGAGCAAAAACTTCAATATAAATAAATCTCAACTGACAGTAAAAAAGGTAAACCAACTTTTGTTTCTAAAGCAATATGGTGTTATTTTGTTCTTATTAATTATTAAAGCTAATAAATTTTGTGCCAAAACTTTTATTTGCCGAATTTATTAAACTGCAACATATTTGCTGATTTCTGATTCTATTATGCAATATTTTTAAATACATTTTATTGACATTGCCGAGAATGTTTAATCATCTGTAGATTTAGCATTTTCTTTGTTTACCTATTTTTTAGTATGCGTTTATCATGTTCCTTATAAAACTTTGAAAATAAATAGACCAAAGGTAAAGGATCATTTCAATACTGATTGGAGGTATTATATGTAAAATTTATATGATTTTTGTACATTCACGTTAAATTCATTAATAACTTTATAGCGAATAATTAATTTAAAATAAATTTGACATACTTTTAATTTTATAAAAACTTTATAATATATGAAAGAGGCCAATACTTACTGGGATGTAGAACTTTTTGAGCTTTACTGTGGCTCGCACAGAAGGAACTATAAAGTTTAAAGTGGTTTACATAGTAAAGGAACGAACTGGCTATTGAGAACAGCACATTCTGAAAAAAAAAAATAGATTTAAGATAAAACAATTTATTACAAAGTTTGGGGATTTTACAATTGATCCATTGAAAGGTACACTAACATTACATTTTTGAGAGGACCCAATTTTATTTTTTTGATGTGTAGAAAGAGGGGTCTAAAGGATTTTCGCGATGTATCTTGCAAATTGGCAATTATATATTACATTTACATCTTGGGCCAAATTGATTAATTTCCCTAATAAATATGTGTAGTGGCTGTAATGCCAGTGTACTCGGCAAAGTGGTTCTAAGAAAGCACACCTACCGCCTAAATATTTCGTGTTGGTATCATGTGACCTCACGGACTATGACGCGGATGACGTGCAAGGGTAAGTAAATTAGATGAATAGATGAAGTATATATATATATATATATAATATATATATATATATATATATATATATATATATATATATATATATATATTGATATGATATTAAAATCAAGAAAATATCGGTTTGTTTAAAATATTTCAAAGTTCAAAAAACATTAAAATAATTCAGAAAGTATACCCAACAAACATTTCGAAGAAGGAAAATATTTAAATTTTTGGATTACCTGTATTAAACAAAATGTAAGCTAAGCATAAATTATTTCCTTTGTTATACTATACTTGAGTGACCCGCATAATTTTAAGTGAAATCCCAAAGACAATTGAACCGGGTTTTTCCAAATACATTAACGCAGCGATTATAGACAATAGAAGAGATTTGGAAAGATGTTTTTGTTAGTTTTTAAGAATTATAGAAAAATATTATTTGTAAATAAGTTTTAGGAAATTTTATAATTATAGGTAAAAATTTGTTTGTTATCGGAATGAAAGAATGGGGAATTGTGACGAGTTTTGATTGGCGGAGATTAAAAAAGGTGGGAGGTATGTAGGAATGAAAGTTTAGCTAGATTTCGGAGTGAAAAAAGATAGTTAGTTGGTTTCCAAGGGTGCAAGGCGAACGGCCGTTGTTCTCGGGTAGTTTCCCAGAGGTAGGAAGCAGTAGCAGTGAAAGTTTGTGAGTTTTCGTGTAGTTAGTGTATCTGACAGAAGCTGATCCAGTAAAATATTGTAAGTCATATTTTTCTACTTATATTCCAAGAGTCACTGTTCAGGCCAACAGAGAGATTCAGTTTATCGTAAAGAAAAGATATTCCAAGAGTCATTTTTCACTCAGGCCAACGAGAGATTCAGTTTATTGAGAGAAGAAGAAGCTAGCATAATTTGAACGATTCGTGCATTTGAAGGAGATCATTAAGGACGAGAGATTTGCAATAATTTATTGTAAGATTGCTGATTACTTAGGGAGCGGCCACGAGTAAATAATATAGTCTACAAATAACAAGGATTTGGACCACTCATCATCAGAGAGAGATAGTTTTGTTTTCTGCAGTTTTTCTTTCATTGATAACACAATTTTTACACTTAATTTAGAAAGGATATAAATATATTTGATTAGGAGATTTAGAATAATATTTGGTTTTTGAGATTTCAACTAATATTGTTTGTACCATTAATTTTGAAGGTTCACGTACGTAGAACAAAATTTTGAGAATCATTATATGAGATTTGTTTATCGAAAACATTTGAGTGTGAATTATTTCATTATTTTATTTCAATATATAGTGTTATATCATATATGTGTTTTTTATTATTCCGGGATTCTTTGGACCTTACCTTTCACATGTAATAGCATAGATATTGAAGCACGAATAAAACCCTGAGATAAGAGAATTAGAAATTGTGATAGAATCATAATCATATCTTTTAAATAATTTTAATTAATCAAAAAAATTAATTAGCTAATTATTGCTTGGCGCACCAAGACGTTAAATATCACAATAATATATATATATATATATATATATATATATATATATAATATATATATATATATATATATAAAACCTAGAGCTAAGATTAATATTATTACTAAAATTAATATCAAACTCACCAGTCTTCCGGGTTGAACCGCGTCGATGTCGATTTTGCCAAGCTTTCGGCATCCTCTCTGATGCCTTTCTCAGGGCTTCCGAGGTCTCAGTCTCCCTAGCCCCCAGACACTACTACACTGTTCACTATACACGGCACTGTCACTACTAGTCGTGACGTGAATAGTGAACAGTGTAGTAGTGTCTGGGGGCTAGGGAGACTGAGACCTCGGAAGCCCTGAGGAAGGCATCAGAGAGGATGCCGAAAGCTTGGCAAAATGGACATCGACGCGGTTCAACCCGGAAGACTGGTGAGTTTGATATTAATTTTAGCTCTAGGTTTTTATTGTACTAACCGCGGAAATCTTTCCGAACATATATAATATATATATATATTTATATATATATATATATATATATATATATAATATATATATATATATATATATATATATATATATATTATCTAATATTCTGCCCTCAGATAATTTGCTGCTACATTTTATCTCAAATCTATACACACATTGAGTTAGACTTACCTTAAATTGGCTACTAAATTCAAATCTGTGGAAATCATGTTCTAGTTCGATAGCCTCTTCTAAATTATTCAAAAATTGTCGCTGGAAAGTAACAATTTCTTGGATGTTTCCAAATAAGGCGTTAATTTCTGCATTTGATAAAAATGTTTCCTTTTTCAATGGTTCCAAATAATTCTCCAACAAGTTGTTCAAATGCTGCAAAAAAATATTTTTGTTAATAATTTAAATTAAAAACAATCAATTGATTAAAATTACATTTTTTTTTCTATTCGAATAAAGTGTATGTTATTCTGGATTTATAACTTTTTCCGACAAGATTAGCTAATACAGAGATAGCTTGAATCGAGATAAACCTGTATTAGCTTTTAAAGTAGAACATAGAATAAAAATATTAGAAGATCAATCACCAAAGAGTTAAAATATAAAAAGATAAAAAAAAGATAAAGTAACAACTCAGAAGTAAATGATTCTGATGATCTTATGGGACTATTACGTTACAAACATTGACATTTATCAAAGGATTAAGACAAAAAAATAAGTTGAAAGGGAAATAAAAAAAGACCACAATATCTGGGTTATATACTATAGGAAAAAAAAATATACCTTTCAGCTTATAAATTAGAGCAAAGTATAGGACAGAAAAAACAAGACGATTATCTTCAGTGAGTTGTTAGTTGTCGCTCAAAACAACTCTGTAGACCAAATGCTTCGAAAACTGAGTAACCATGATAATTGCCATTATCTTCAATTGCAACTGACTTAACGTTTTTGGTCCCATCGCCAGATATGTACGGCATTAACTAGAAGTGCGTTGAATCCCACTGCCGTATATATACGTTCTAGTCTATTATGGTATTAAACCCATGGCCATGTTTACACGGTAGTATAAAATTTATTCATCAACGCTGTGAAAATTCGGCATTTATGATTATAAACAAACCCAAACAAAAATAATTCGGTATCTACTTTCAGTATTATTTGATTCTTTCTAGAGGTAATGTTATTCGTTTCAATTCAGACGCTTCAACTAATAAAAGTGGTAGTTTTAAACGCAAAAAGAACAATAATGAGTATGTTAGTCTGTGTGAACTGACACAACGTGAACATTAAAATATAATGGCGGTATTGAATACTGATGAAGAGCCTTTTATCGATAGTGGTAGTAAATATGAGCCCGATTTGGATTACGGTCATACCAGTGATGATGAGGTAAATGAATTGATATGCCAAGAACACGAAAGCCCAGAAAACATTGAAACTTGTACACATATAGATGACAAAAGCTTTGTCAATCAAAATGCTCTTAAAAGTGAATAACCTCCCAAATGGGATTTAGTTTCAGCTAGGAAGAAACATGTTAGACTTAATTGGGAAATAGAATGCATACTGAAATATAATAGAAATACATACTGAAATATATATCCAACTCTTTTATCTACACCCCTAAATGACAGAAACTTCATCTCTCGGAAAACTTACACTATATACGTTAGATGCCTTTTTGGACATGCTACAGTAAATTTTTATTTCAAGCTATCTCCCAACAAAAATCATACTGCATCAGAACTTTGTTCCTATTCTCTAATTAGGTAGTCGAAATCCAACTATTAGATCGATTTTATGGGAATTTTCAAACTTACCAAACTGAAAATCTTAACTGCCTTTTTCAGTGTTTTGTGAATCCGACATGGTAGGACGTGAGTTGGTGTATTACCGATTGTCTCTTCTTTCATGTTATTTACTTTTAACCGTTGCCTGTATTGTTTGAATAAAAAAAAGTCGCTATGAAGGTCACCTTAGCGTGAAGCATGTGTTCTTGTTCAATTTTTTTTATAGTCACCCAATAGTGTTTTTAATGGGATGGTTAGAAAATAGAGTGAATAAACAAACGGTTAGAACATTTTCATCGATTTAAAAATCGATTATCATCGAAATTTCTCACAAGAGTGATTGTAGAATTAAGAAACCATCTTGTGCTTTGGCAGAGCATGTAATAGACAAAGACCATATTATGGATTTTGATAATATTAAAATTTAATGTAATGAAAGTAATTAAATTTAAAAGAACTTTTTTGGAAATGGTTTGTATTAGCAAAAGTGATAATAATTTAAACAAAAGGTCAGCAATTCAAAATTTAAGCAAAATTTATAATTATATAATTTCTATTTAATTTATATATGCAGTGAGTAAAATATCACATTTTGAATTTTCCATGTATTTGTTACATTTTTTCGTGCATCTATCAATGGTGAATAAATCTTCTTCTTTTTTGTTACTAAACAAAGAAGAATTTTTTAAACAAAATTTTATTTTTGACAATATGTCAAAAATAAAAAAATTTAAGTTAGTTTATGACATTTAGGCTGGTTTGTAGCTATTCTATTTTTGTTTATAAATTCAATTTTTTTCTTAAGAAACTTCATCAAAATTTTTCAGAGAAACATTTATTAGAATAAGACATTTTTTTACTAATATTTTTTGTATTTAATATGTAAGCAGTAGTTTTATATAAAAAACTAATTTTATTTGGTGAGTTAACAAAAAATTTTTTATTTCTAGTTCAACTTTGTAAGATATTTTGTATTTTTTAGAAGCTCTTGATAAAAATTGTAATCACAATTGAAAGCTCGAGTAAAAAATAGTCAACAAATAGCCCCTTTTATTGACTCCAACCCATCAAAAACAGTTTATATATATATATATATATATATATATATATATATATATATATATATATATATATATATGTATATATATATATATATATATATATATATATACATATATATATATATATATATATATATATATATATATATATATATATTCAATGTGAGTGAGATTAAAATCTCACTGTAAATGAGGATATCGAGGATATCGAGGAGTCAAGGAGAAATAAAAAATGAAAAAACTATTTCAATCTTTTAATAGAAATACGTTTCGTGCAGTAATTCTGCACTTCTTCAGTTCTAATGATTGTGAAGTCATATATAGATGTCAAACAATGTCAAATGCATATGTTGCGATGTTATAAAATACATTAAAAGAATACAAAAAAAGTTATGGTGAAAAAAATTTACATTCAGAATTTTATTTAAAATTTATACACACATTGAAAAGTTACAAAATGTCACATGTGTTAACTAGAATAGTATAATATAACACTTCTATTCTATCGCTGTTATAAAATATTAGGAAACATGAAGCAAGGAGAAAAAGTACCTTGTTTTTATTGAGCTCAGTGAACAATTTGAAAAAACTATTTTTATTGAAAAAATTATGGAAAGTTTACTTTATCGTTAGATACACCAAAGTAGTTAAAAGGAAATAAAAGGAACTATTTTTGGATAGATGGGAATCTACTATTCCGAAAAGACAAACAAACAATTTAATGGCTTTGGAAATCAGTCTCTGTATGCAAAATTAACTGATGAACAAAATACTTCTTTACAGGACAGAATATAAAAGTCAATTTGTGTTAAAATCTAATTAAAAGGGTTGGTAATGAAATGTAATGAAGACCATTGCTGGGAAACCTAGAATTAGTGAATATAAATGAATTATAATGAGAAATGATTTTGTTAAACTCACCATGTGGATCCTTTTTCGATAGGATTTTACAAGTGTGATGTATGAAGATTGTTAAAGTTCTCGTTGAAATGAATATAGGGATATAATTTTGAAGTATCAAGGTAGAACTGATGGTAGCTGTTTTTTCCTAGAGGACAAAAACTGAAAATTTTTTTTTTGTATATAAAATAATGGTAGTGTTTGGAACTCTACCATTTATGAAGCAAATATTTTAAGTAATGCTTTTTCAAATAACTTTTGTTTTTTTGTTACATCAACAAGTTTTATTAGCAAATTTGTCTATTTTTTATACTCGCCGTATATTTGCGACAGTGAGTCTGATGGCAAGAAAAAAATCCTTGGGATTCTGTGACATGCATAGTGCTTTAAGGCTGGGTAAGCATAACCTAACATAAGGGTTAAGTTAGAAGAAAAAAACTTATTAATATTAAATTTCTTTAAACAATATTTTTTTTTTTTTCGTTTAGCGATAAGTATGTTTACTACTTCAGAAAAATATCTTCATCGAACTTCCTTGTTAATTTTTTCCGTCACTTCGATTGATCAGCCCATAATCTCAGACTTGTTCAGTTTTCTACTTTGCACATAAATAACAACTAAATAACGTATTTTATAATTTAAAACATGGTAATCCTCAACAGCAATAAAATTGCGCCAAACATGATAAGTAGCGAAAATGTTTCAAAGCATCCAATCGACTTTGATACCATCTAACTCTTAAAAACTTCAAGGAGATAAAAGTTGAAAAACGTTCGGAACCGCCGAAGTTATCTAATAACTCATTCATGTATTTTAATTCCAAGTTTTCTACCGCGAACGACATTTATAAGTTTCGCCGATGGCTATGATTGTGAAATTTACGGTTTAATCGAAAGTATACCAGAGCTATTTAAACTATAATTTGAAAATATATTTTTAAAGCACCTCTAGAAGAAAATATCACCAATAACATATAACACCACCATGTATATACCACCGTACCAATAAATAAGATGAACCACTTAAAACCATTGCTAATCTATTGTAGAATTTTATTCTATGTCCCTTCTTGACTCTCATGTGTCTCTGCACATATATAATGATTCTACACATATAATCGCGCATAATTATTTAACAAATATTAAAAGTTAGTGATTTGTAAGAGAAAATTAATTTATTTAAATTTTAATGAAGTGAAACATTATTAAAGCAAAGATTTAACCTCTTCAGGGACGGATTAATTCTTTGAACAAAAAAAGTCCAATATTTCTCTATATTTTAATTTTTAACATCCGGATACATGAAAAACGTAAAAAAAATTATTGACAAATTTGACATTGTAAAAGTCAAAAACGAAAACGTACACATATGTTGCCAACGGCCAGATTATCGGTTCATGAAAAGATTCCATGCATTCTGTGCAGACTCTCTCCTGACACTGCTTGCATATGTATCTTGTTCTGCGTTTGCAATTTCTGTCATGGCATCTTGGTGGATTTTTGTAGTTCATTTTCATTGAATGGTGTCCCAATCTATTCAAGTGAACTTCAGGTGCAACTTAAGTCCACGACTTTTTCATTTTTAGAGCAGAATTTTCGGATGAGGGTCTTTCTCGTTTTCTTGC